TATGAGATTTATTCATGTTTTTGCATGTAACAGTAGTTGGTATTTTTTATTGTTTGTGGTGTTCCGTTGTTTTAAATATACAACAGCTTATTGTCTTGTGAATGGATATTTGTCTTCTTTGCAAAACCTGGCCATTATGAATAAACCTGAGTATTCTCAAATGTATTTTTTGGTAGACATGTGCTCATTTCTCTTGGGTATATGTCTAGAGGAAGAATTGCTAGATCATAAGGCATAGGTTTAATTTTAATAGATATTTCCAAAGTGGTTTTATCACTTTACTCTCCCACCAGCAGTGTATGTTCCAGTGCAGAGTTCCAGGAACTCTGCATTCTTGCCAGTGCTTGTTATTGGTGGTCTTTTGAATGCTTTCCATTCAGAAGGGTGTTTATTTCATTGTGGTCTTAATTGCATTTCCCTGATATGTCATCACGTTCCCTTCTGTTTCTTATGTCTGTGGCCATTTGTGTGTCCTGTTTTATGAAGGTCTTTCATCCATTTTATTAATTGTGTTGTTAGTTCTTTTTTTTTTCTTATTTGTTGACATTCTTTGCATATTCTCGATGTTTGTCTCATTAGAGAGAAAAATTACAAACACCTCTTACTGTCCTAGTAGTATCTTTTGACTCTCTTAGTATTTTTTGATAACTGGACGTTCTTTTATTTTGGTGAAGTTCAAATTTATCCTTTTTTTTTTTACGATTAGTGCTTTTTGTGTTCTTCTGCAAAACATGAAACTTACTGCCTTTCCATCTCTTGGATATTTTTAGGCAGAAAAAAACATAGAGACCCACTGCTATAGAATGTAAACCACAGTCACACTGGTCATTATTGGATTCCTGTTTTTGAACTGACTGTTTGCCTAGAGTGGTGTCCTGAGCCCTCATATATATAAAGCACTTCAGGTTTCACAGAGCTCTTAATCATTCGACCTCATTTGATCCTAGGCAGGGGCTCACTCACTAAAGGCCTTGCAGGAAGGTTTAGTCCCTTCTGATGGCCAACAGAAGCTCTCCGGCAGCTGCAGGATCTACATGTTTCCCACAGCTTTGTGCTTGAGGGCAAAGCATTAGACTGTGTGGTTTGGTTCCTGGCTCTGTAACTGGGGACAAAATGCTTAACCTATTTGTGCCTTGGTTTTCTCAGCTGCTAAATGGGATAATGAGAATATCCCTCCCTCATGATGTAGTTGTGAAGGTGAAATGAATTAATTACTGTATAGTGCTTAACACACTATCTGGCACACAGAGTTGGGTTATTATTATTGTAGTTTTATCATTATTGTTTGATGAGGGTCACAATTCTTTTTTTAATTGTTGTATAATTGACTTAAAATATTAGTTTCAGGTGTACAACACAGTGATTTTTTTATAGGCTACACACCATACGAAGTTATTATGAAATATTGACTATATTCCTGGTGCTGTATATAACATCTTTACGACTTATTTGGTCACTTGTACGTCTTAATTCCCTTCACTTGTTTTGTCCCTCCTCTCACTCTTCTCCCCTCTGGTACTTACTAGTTTGTTCTCTGTTTCTGAGGACCACAGTTATTTGCAGAGCTGAAAAGAGCTCTGATCATTTATTGGGTTTTCCTTTTATTGTGTCATATTTTTTTCCCTCATTCCACACTCCTACCTCATGAGTCCTCTGTCTCTTTCCCTCTTTGTCTTTCCACTTTTGTTATGAAAAGCCAGATGCATTTCACACATGAACTAAATTGATACCTGAATGAAAGTGTACTGTCTTATAGGGACTGACATGGAATGTGTAAGGTTATTGAGAGTTTTGCTCAGTTTCTTTGGTTTTGAGGGATGGTGGCTAGCAGGGGCATAGAATATGGAAAGGAAGTGACTACTTGATTCCAAAATAAAGTTGACCCATTTACCTTGCTTCTAAGAATTACAGACATAAGAGATTTATGTAATAGTGGTTTAAATTGTAATAAGGGAAAAGAAAACTTGAAGCCAAGTGAGTGTTTTCTAGATGTCTAGAAACGATAGTATAATACTATGATCCAGATGTTAACATACATGAGGCTGAGAGAAAGTTTTCTGAACTTGGGGTGATAGGATTAGTATCAAGTGTGTTAAATCTATTCAGTTCTCTATCACCGCATACCTCCAAAAAAAAAAAAAAAAAAAGGAGAATAAGATCACACGTGGAAAAGAATTTATCTTTTGATATTTCTTCGTGAAATAAAAACAAACCCTGTTGATTTTCCTGGTTACTAACGCCAGTGGCCCACCCTTAATAGCCTCTGAGTTTGTTTGAACTTCCTCTTTGTGACTGGGTGGAAATTTCACACTGTTTGCCATGAAGTTGATGTGACATCTGCGAGGTCCCTGACATCTTGGTCTGCTAGGAAGCTATTGTGGTTTCACTGTTTGCTGATGAACACCTAGCAGGAAATGAACTGAGACACTTTGGTGTGTAGAGAGTAGCTTTACCCTAGTGTGGAGAGTAGGCTGTCTTTTCTCTCCAGTGTGGGGAGAACATGAAGGAAAAATGGGGTGTCTGGGTGGGCAGAGGGACTTCAGAGCTAACCATGCCTCAGGATCACCTGAGAAGATGGTTAAAATTCAAGTTCTCAGGCACAGCGCAGAAGTTCAGGTTGAGTGAGGCAGGGCCGGGCTGGGTACTTCTATGCTAAGGGGATTCCTGATGTCTAGGCACAACACTGAGAGCAACACTCAAAAAAGAGTTTCAGGCTCGGGGACTGGAGAGACTTTCGTAGACTTTTCATCTCAAAGCTATTAAAGGTTTGTATGTGGCTTTAAACTGGAAGAGTAGAATCAGTCCACCAAGCCCCCAGCCACAGGGCCGCAGCTGCCAGCAGGCTGCAGATAGCCAGCAGGCTGCAGATAGCCAGCAGGTGAGGCACACTAGATGGGCTGACAATGGTGGGAGAAGGAGGAGGAGTTCCCTGGCCTGTGCACGGAATCACTATCCCTTCTGAGTCATTGGGTCTAGGTACTAGCGCCCAGAGTAAGCTTCACGAGAGTGACCGCCCTCTGTCCCATCGCCTGTCTGTCATCCACCTGCTTACCCCCAGCCACCTACACACACCCCCTTCTCCCGCTGCTGCTACTCCCTCCTGGTCTTTTTTCCTCTCCCTGCCCCCACCCTCTCGTTCACCACCTCCCACACTCACACTCCTTCCTCAGTGCCCCTCATTCCCAGCCTCCCCTAGATACATTGTGTGTGCGCGTGTGCGTACACTAGGTCTTCATTGCCGTGTGGGCTTTGCTCTGGTTGCAGAGAGTGGGGCTACTCTCTAGTTGCAGTGCATGGGCTTCTCATTGTGGTGGCTTCTCTAGGCACGCAGGCTTCAGTAATTGTTGCATGTGGGCCCGGTAGTGGCAGCTCTCTGCTTCTAGAGTACAGGCTCATAGTTGTGGTGCGTGGACTCAGTTGCTGCATGGCATGTGGGATCTTCCTGGATCAGAGATACAACCCATGTCTCCTGCATTTGTAGGCAGGTTCTTTACCTCTGAGCCACCAGGGAAGCCTCCATGCTTCCATCTTTGAACACTTTTTTCCTTTGGAGAAGTTGAGGAAGGATGAATGAAAACAAATGTGATATTTAAAATATCTTCAATATAAGTAGACCTAGCATGTTCATTGAAACTGTGGAAATAAGCCAGGAGCAGCTAGAACAGTGATTATAAGTGGATTGAATAAATAGGCTTAGGTGTTTATGGGTCCAGACTTGTGCTGTGCAAGGCATCATGGAGTTCGTGTGTGTGTCCACTGTACCTTCTGTGATCCTGAGCAGTGCTGCAGACTTAATTCTTGCTCAGTGGATCTCAGCCTTCCTTTTAGACTTTCTCAAACTTTAAAGATGATTTGAGTCATTAATTCTTAACTTTTTGTGTGTTGCAGTCTCCTTTCATAATCTGATAGGCAGTTTGAATTATTTGTCCAAAAAAAGGCACAAACATTTGGAGGAGGGAGGGTGGCTCATAGACTCTTTGGGCACTTCCTTGGACCCTAAGTCAAGAATTCCTGTCTTAATGAGCATAGAGGGCTTGTAGTCCCTTCTCCCAAGTTCCTTTTTGTGGTGCACCCCTCTTGTGTGACATCTGTTAGCGGTACACAACAAACGTTATTTGATATCGTGTGCATGCTTTCTGGAGGGTCTTTGCTCAGTTTGAAAGAGCAAGAATATTTCAGGCAGAGAGTGAAAAGAGCTAATGCATATAAAGAACTTAGTTCCTGCTGTGCTAAAGATTCATTTAAAACTAGTGTGTACATTTAATATAGTCATAAGTATAATGCCCATTACCCCATAAAACCTTTTCATGTCAAAAGCAGTTTAGAAGCATTGGACTAGATATTAGACCAGAATCCCTCCACTTGTATGTTCCATCCTTTTTATTGAGTCCAATAATTCTCTTCAGTTTTTGTTGTTGGTTAGTCGCTAAATTGTGTCCAACTCTTTTGTGACCCCCATGGACTGTAGCCCGCCAGGCTCTTCTGTTCATGGACTTTCCCAGGCAAGAATAGTGGAGTGGGTTGTCATTCTGTTCTCCAGGGAATCTTCCTGACCCAGGGATCAAACCCAAGTCTCCTGCATTGGCAGGTAGACTTATTACCACTAAGCCACCAAGGAAGCCCTGTCTTCACTTTGGCACATGTTTATTGTACCCCTACTTGGAGTCAAGCACTCTGGTAGCATTTTGGGGGAGAGGAACAGATATGATCTCAAAGAACAAACAAGGCCAAAGGGAATCACTTGACTCCTCTGTGTACTTAGCTGTATGTAGAGTCTTGTCTTCTGTGTTTCCTGCCACCTTCCTGAGGGAAGTGGGTTGAGAGGGATTTGGGGTGATGGCTTTGCTTTCTGACACTCGAAGGTGGCTCTAAAGAGCTGAGGGGTGCTTCTCTGTCTGCATGCCATTAACCCTGTAGCTTTTCACTCAGTTTCGTGGGTGTTTCTTTAAGACTCACCTTCATCTGTGGCACTGGGTTTACATGACCTTGTTTCTCCGTAGGCCCGGGGTTATCACCATGCAGGCATTGTCTGAAGAAGACCGAAGGCTCTGGATGGAAGCCATGGATGGCAGGGAACCTGTAAGTAACAATTCAGGGAAGTAGAGCAAGAATAAAGGTCTCGAGTTGTTTTGCTTCCTTAGTGCAGCAATTTTTGCTTTTGCTTTAAATAAAACCTTGGGCTCTCGAGACCAGTGTACCAGAGGGGCTTTTTATTTTTATTGTTTTTTATTCCTGGACTAATGTTCCTGAATATTGATATTGCTTTTGTGTGAATGCAATTCTGGAGCTTTGGCCTGTCAGTCTAAGGTATGGGTCCTACATGACGCCACATCAGACCAGAGACCACCCCCACCCTTCACCAAGGCAGTTGTAATGCCCAGAGGGCTTTTAGAGGGAGGCACCATCAGTCTGACTTACAGAATACTCATTGATAACCTCCACAAAGTGCAGTGCAGAGCATTACTTCAGATCCATTTTAATAGATTAAATGATGATAGAAGTGTGTACAGATGATGCAGAATCTTGTCATCACCCTCTGGTTCAGCTTCCCAGCTTGCTATACTTGGCTCACATCCCACTATAATTGATGAGATTACTAGGGTCCACGAAAGGATTTAAGCCTAAAATGTGATCCATCCTTTCAGAGGTGCTTGTCTCCTCTGATGGGTGATGTAATCTTGTGGTTTTCCTGCATCTTGTGACATGTAAAACCCACGGAAGAACCTTGGGGAAGTCCCGAGAGTCAGAGTAGTCATCTTAACTTGGGGCCAAGGATCTCAGCTCCAATACTCAGCAAATCTCAAGGTTACAGAAGTTGTAAGAGTACGGTCTAACCATGTCCTACCAGTAAAAGATAAAAAGAATCCACACTGTCAGAAGGCCAATAATGGGGCCAATAATTATCACATACAAAGGCACTGTCAAAAAAGGGAAATATGTGCAAGGGACATGAGGCAGGCATAGCCTCCATTGACTATAGAACTGTGCATCACACTGGGTGTGCAATATAGATGATTCCAGTTCATTTGTGTGTCTCTTTCTCAGCCTGCTCTGATTAGGTGATCTGTATTGATTAATGTCATTTTCTACTGAGGTATTTTGTGTCCAAACTTGGAACTCATTATAGTCAACTAAGCATAGACAAATAACTAGTATTTGTAGCACATTTAATAATACAGAGCAAGATTTGAAGCACTGTTTAAAGATTTAGGTGCAGTTTGCTAAACCTAGTTAATTAAATAAACATCTTAGTTCTTCTCCTGGACTAAGATACAGGATACCGCTAATTTTCCCTGAATACTTTGTTACTGATAACTTTTGATGGCTCTCTCAAAAGCAGATACACATTTCTACGTTCAGGGCTTTGTGAGCACAATAGGTGCTTGATATCACAGGCTTTTCAGAGCAGTTTCCTAAGTAGTCTTCATCTCTGCTGTTATCACCTACCATTAACTGAGCTTCTGTGTGTGTATATCTGTAAGGCACAGATTTGGCACATAGCATCTCTTAACCCATTTATTCTTAGTACTTAGCAAACTAAATATTATAATTTGATTTCACAGATGGGGAAACTGAGGCTTAGAAGAGATTAAATAACTTACCCCAAGTTGTACAGATAGTAAGTGGCTATATTTGTAGGGCACAGGCTAGGTTGCTATAGCAAAGAGACTTCAAAGTGCAAAAGCTTAAATAAAATAGAAGTTTTATTTCTCTCACGGAGCTCAGAAGTGAGCAGTCTATGCCTGACAGGGTCATTTTGCTGAGACAAACTAGGACCTGGGACCTTTTGCTGCAATGCTTGCACCTGGACAAACCTGTCCTCCAACAACAGAATACAAAGAAACTATAAGGGACTAAAAATAACGGAGTACTCCCTCAGTTGGGGCAGATTCTGGACAAAAGATACAAACAGACCAGAAGACCTAACTGCAACTTTTGAAGAGCAACTAGCAAAAGCAGGGATTTGGGAGCAAAAGCAGGATACTGCACATGCCCCCTGCACACACTACCACCTAAGGGGTGAGAGAACCACCTAAGCCACTCCTCCAGCCCAATCCCTCAACGCACCTTTACCTTTACCTTCACTGCATATAAGGAGCAATCTCCCACCTCCTCAGGGAGCAAGTAAGGGAAGCTGTTACTTGTTCTTGTTCTCCTGCTAGCTGCACTGGGGCCCATAAAACCTTACCTGAGTTTCTTGTCTGGCCTCTAACCAATTTCTATTGATTGGGAAAGGCTATGAATCCTGGTTGGTACCAGTGCCATCCTCAGTCCATGGCTTTCCATGTTCTATTCATTTCCATTATTCAGCCAGATAATGGAGATGAGAGCATCTAGGATCTAGAAGATGCATACCCCACTTCCACTGCCCCCCAAATAATTATTTGGCCACATTGATCTACAAAGAAAGGAGCATGAGAAAACATAGGCAGCCATGGCTCCAGCCAGTGCCCAGGAGATCTTACCACTTCAAGGAGGAAGAACAGAAACTGTGGGGTGGTTAACAGTTTCCACCACAGTGCAAAGCTAGCATTAGAACCTGTATCTAGCCCTAAATGTCTTTGGTTTTCATTTTTAATAGAGATAAAATGTCAAATTGCCTTCTAAGAATCCTTACACAGTTAATTTTTACATTACTTTCTGTGACTCTCTTGAATGATTCTTAACTCATAGGGCAGGAAATACCCAGGAAGAAAAATCCTGTCGGGGCATACTATTCTTTGTATGAACAAAAAACCCACTTTGGGGTGGGTAGATATGTGTGTGTGTGTATGTGTGTGTGTGTGTGTGTGTGTGTGTGTGTTCCCTCCAATAAGCTGGAGTTCTTAAATTGCTTCACGCACTGCATTTTAAGTCTCCCCACCTCCCTCTCCCACCCTTTGGTGTTTGTTCTCTGTCTGCATATACTTGGTTTTCTTATAAACCACCTTAGTTTCCCCGTAGATGAACATCTGGCCTCTGCTGGTTGTGTGCGTCTGAGAGACACATCTCCTTGCTCCAGAATGTGCATAGTAAAACAAGCTTAAGCACAAAATAATTGTTTTCCAAATATAATATAAATTTATTTCCTCTCACTAACATATAGCTTGCATTGAAAACCACACCTCTGTGTGCTTTTAAGTTTCCTGAAGAGACACATAAATGCAGGCATGTGATAACAGTTTAATTGGCAAGAATATTAAGCCTAATTTTGTCTCCCATTGCTGAGAGCCTCTGGGGAGCATTACAGGAGCTGTATACCCCGTAGACAATTAGCGGCTCTGCTTTAATCACCATCTCCCTAATTAGTTAGGTCTGTCCCCTTGGGAATTTTGGCTTTGGTAAGGGGGCAGAAACACTTTTTCTCTAGCTGATCTTCAAATATTTCCTTTACTTCAGGGAGATGTTAATAACAGCACCTATCTTTAGTTTTTATACTTAGAGCTCAGTTCTGTAATTGATTACTCAGAGTTGGTTTTTGTTTTTTTTTTTTGGGTCACTATTGCAGCTACTCAGTTTTGCTGTTGGAGCTCAAAAGCAACCATACACAATATGTAAATAAATGCATGTGGCTGCATTTCAATAAAAGTTTATTTATAAAAACAAGTAGAAGGCCAAATTTCAAGTCATGGACTGAAATCCCTGCTCTATAAGTCTGGTAGAAGGAGAGCTTTGCTTAATAATTCCCAGGAAGTCCCATGTTTGAATTTTAGTGGGCTAAATACTTGGACCAGAGCATGGAACAGGTGAATTGACAGTGTGGCTCACCTTCCCACTGCATGAGAACTGTATAAATGGTGAGGGAAGGTCGGCTTCCCCTGGGGTAAATCAAAGCACTGTTATGGTAGACATACATGAAATAGGCAAAAATGACACAGTTTATCCAACTCTGATATCTATATTCCATTAAATTTTCTATTCAGAGAGCTTGTTCTTTGATACTTGGCCGGGAATGAAAACCATAAATTTACCATGAACATCATACTTCAAGTGAAAGACTGGATGCTTCCTCCCTAAGAGTGGGATCAAGGCAAAGATGTCCACTCTCATTACCAGTCTTACTCAGCATGGTACTGGAAGTCCTAGCCAGTGCAGTAGGGTAAGAAAAGAAAAGACCCATAGATATTTTTTAAGAACTCAGCAACTGGCTAGTCAGATAAAATTTTGAAATGATTTTGCCAGATTTTCTTCACTTTCTGTTAAATGTGGGTTGACAAGCTATAGAGTCAACATTCCAGCCACATAAGCTTTGATTTTAATATTCTATGGCCACTGTCTCAGCTTGAGAGTAGACTTTCTATGTTAAATGGGACACAGAACTTTAGTGCAGTTGCATAAATATTGCAACCAGGAGAAATTTTAGAGACAGCAAATTTCCTTTTTTCTCGGTTCCTTATAACTAAAGTTCTCTCTCCTGTTCTCTTTGTATATTGCTCGTAAGTATGTTCAGTACATTTAAACAAGCAGATTAGACTCAGAACAGTCATTACCAACACATGCATCCAACCTTCTGCCCAATGGAAAGATGACTCAGCACATACGTGGAACTAATAGGGTAACCCAGAGTCTTAGAACTTAGACCTCTCTGAACTGTGTTCCTACATATTCCCCGTAGTTGTGATTAGTGGTATCTCTGGAAGCGCTTCTCTTACCTCCTTATTTTAGAGGTATTAGTCTTCCTTCACAGCCAAGGATTCTTTAGTAAAATTAAATGTTTCTCCACTTTGAGTCAGTACTTGAATCTCTTTTGATAGCCAGGAAGTTCAATTGTTGGGAGATGCCAGAATTATGTGGAATTAGATTAGGAGGAGAAGAAACAGGTGGCATAGCATCAAAGATGTGTGTAAATACACGTATTAGTTTGAAACCATGAAATTGCCACTTTTGAAAGTCAAAATAGCCAGATATTGGTGATTTCATATGGCTCAGGCTCCTACTTGTGGAACATAAAGAAGCCCACACCCAGGCCAGTGTCACATGCTTATTTATTTAAGTGGGAACACTGCTCAAAAGGGCCAGTCAATGGTTGATCTTGGGTGGATAATCCAGGTCTCCTAGCTTTCAGCTCTGTGATGTTTTATTAAGTACTACAACTTGTA